TTGTAGATACCGAGTGTTGTCAAGGATGTTGGGCAGCTGGAACTCTACACAAGCCTGGTGGGAACATAAAATGATATAACCACTTTGGGAAACAGTTTGGCAGTTACTTAAACATTAAACATAAATCCATCATGCAACCCAACCATTCTACTGTTTGGTATTTACAAGAGAAATGAAACCCTCTGTCCACACAATGGCTTGCATAGCAATGTTCATAACAGCTTTACTCACAGTAGCCAAAAGCTGGAAACAATCCAAAGGTCCATCAACAGGTGAACAGGAAAACAAATGACAGTATATCCATATAATGGGATATTACTCAGCAATAAAAAGGAATGAACTATTGATACACCACAAACTGGTAAATTTCAAAATCATTATGTGTGAAAGAAACCATAAACAAAATGGTACATGCCACGTGGTATCATTTATATCAAATACTAAAAAAAAAATAAAGCAAACTAATTTATGGTACCGAAAAGCAAATCAGCAGAGTGAGGGATGGAGTGCAAAAGAACATGCAGAATCTTTTAGGGGTGATGGAAATGTCCCGTATGTTGATTGTGGCAGTGGTTTCCTGCTATATACATCTGTCCGATGATTGCTTAATTGTAATTTCAAAAGGATGCAGTTTGTTTAACCTTGATAAAGCTGATTTTAAAAAGCTGCCAAGATATTTTGAAATGATGCCTTCTTTTTCCCTCTTGACAAAATGCCCCTTAAGCAAGCAGACTATAACAAAATTATCTTACAGATTTCAGATGTTTTCTAAGGTATAACCGTCCATTCAAAAACCTGACAAATTACTGTCTTTTGCCACCAGATGGCAGAGGAAAATAACGGAATGTTCCTGTAACGGTGGAAGAACTGAAAGTAAAACTCGGAAGTGGAAATGCAAAGCAGGGAAAGATGACTTACAGATAAACAAGGAAAAAAATCCAATCATGATAAACACAAAAGTGTGCATATTTAACTGAAACTTTTAAAAAACACATATTTAGTTACTTTATTTTATAAAGAATTATTTGTGCCTGACATGTTGTAGCTATTTAATATTTGCTGACTGAACACATGAGTGAAAGGGAAGCCATGTGGACCTCCCCTGAGAGATAACATACTCCAGGAAAAAATGTGTACTTCAGTGGAAAACTATGCACTGGCTACAATAGAGCACAACCTTGGGGCTGACGCTAGCAGGGCTAGACTGTGACTTTGAGCTACTTTGTACTTTTGTAAATTGAAGGTAACTGATAAGGATGCAAGCACTGGGTCTAGAATTTAGATTGGCTTCCCTCCATCCTGTGGAAAACCCAGTTCTGCCTTCATTTACAATTCAATTCCTTTATTACATATACATTTATGCTTTTTGACTTTCCCTTTAAACTGGTTATAACTCTAGTTCCCTCATATGAGTAAAATAAAAATCTTTAACACATGCCCATTTTTATATTTCTATGAGTCGTGATTTAACCTTTTTCTGAAAATTACCTTTTAACAATAACTTTAGAGAAATGAGTTTATTGGAAACAGGTTTTCTAAACCTGAGAGCTGATGGCTTAGGTAAATACAGAGCTGGAATATCAGGAAATGGAGAGTCAGGTCAAGCCAGGAACAAAAAGCCTGATTTAATCTCTTAAAACACTAGGGCCAAGCAAAGATCTTAGAAGAATGAGTGTTTGAGCACCGTCCCCACCCATATCAACAGGCCTGAGCCCTTTCGCCTGTCCACATTATGCAACCCATCCTTCAGCCATAGCTAATTGGATTAGGGTTGGGTAAAGTCAGGCTAAACCAATAAGGGAAACTGGAAATTTGGATTTGAGGCTGAGAGACAGGTCATTTCTGTCGGGTACTTTTGCCAGGAAGAGTGGTAAATCTGGGTCTGGGGCCAGCCTGTGCTCAGTCCCTCACATTCATGCCAAGCTCTGTGCCTTGGAACATACATCTACATTTTAAGCACAATTTCCTAAGTTATTTTATGCAAGGAGCTTTCACGCCAGATAGATCTTAGCTCAAAATTAAACATCAAAACTACTAGTGTTACTTCTTAGGGCGTAATGTTTAGGAAAAAAACAAAACAAAACTAGTGTGTGAAGTAGGCTGGTTACTTGACTTCTCTGAAATTCAGTTTCTTCATTTGTTAAGAAGGAAAGTCAATACTTGCCCCATGTAAATGCTATGGCTATTAAATGAGGCAAATGTATAACTGGAAAAACATAGTTCATCCCACATAATATATAGTCAAAAACTAATGCCCACTCAGAAACTAGAAAAGATTCTCTTAGATACAAGTAGGATTAATAACTTTACACCAAGGGGGCAAGGAGATGTTGGGTATGGACTAAATGCACAATAGATATAACTGTCACATCAAAAGAGGGTTGATTTCTTTATGGAAGGATAGACATAAGGAGAGGGAAAAGGTTTTGTCCAGTTGCTATAAATTAAATATTGATTTTGCTTGTGTGCTTCTCTGGTGGGCATTTAAATTTCAGAAGCCCTTTAAAAAAAAAGACTTTTATATTTTAGAGCAGTTTTAGGTTCACAATGAAACTGAGCGGAAAGTACAGGGGGTTCCCACATAGCCCCTCGCCACCCCACAATCCCTCCTACCATCACATTTCACCCTTTGTTAGACTAACCTTCATTTAAGGTTTAGTCATTCAGATTGCAATTCGTACCCTATCTGCTTTCCTACTCTTCTTCCATTAATAATCTATTGACTGCTTATCCCCAACACATCCTTCCTAAAACAGGACTTCTCGGGGAAATTCTGCATGATACTATGGACACATGTCACATGTTTGTCAACATTCATTTGTTAAATCTTCCTTGCTCATTCCCTTCCTTCTCTCATTCTCTATTGATCAATCACCTATTGATCAATATGTTCTCTGGCATTGTGGCACCAGAGGATACATAAATTTTATTTTCTAATTTCTAAAGCTTTAATATCTAGATGCTAAAACAGGGGACTAAAGGTGATTTTTATCCCGAGTTCCTCTTGTTCCTTTTCTTGCTGTATAGCAGTAAATTTTTCCTTTAACATTCAAAACATTATTTAAAATTACATAAGTAATGAATAAAATGTTTTTGTAAAAAAAGCAAATAATCCAGAAAAGTGTATCCCCTCCTCCATTCTCTTCCGTTTCTCAGATGTAACTTTCATAGTAAGTTTTCAATGATATTAACGATGGTATAGATGAAAAGAATTTTCTAAATAGGTTTACGGTAAATAGTGTGGCTGGTTCTGGTAAGTTTTGCTTAATTGAAACCTACCACCACAGCTCTTGATAACACTGACCAGTCTGCTTTTTTCATTTACCCTTCAATAGAAGATTTTTTTCATCTTGTTATCTGTTGTGCCTATTTTAAATGCAAAGACTTTGATGAACTACAGGGACTTTTAAAATATTGTCCTTAAAATGGTACAACCATTTTGGAAAGTGGTTTGGCAGTTACTTGAAAATTAAACACAAAGCTACCACAACACCCAGGTTGAATTCTATTACAAATTATCTGCAAGTTTGAATAATGCATTGTCAGCGATCCTTGCCTGGAATGTACACAGAATCACCTGGAAAGATTTTTCAAAATAGTTTCCCAACTCATAGAATCAGAATACCTCAGGAAGAATCCTGGATGTGTGTAGTCTCACAAAAGGTCCATGATTAATAATTCTGCATACAAACACCCTTTTGGTACCATGGCTACTTATGATCCCTTTGGGCGACCACACTCACTTCCTTGGCTTCAGCCAACAGCTATGTATGGGAGAAGACCTGAACTAAGGTCACGGTGGCAATAAAGAGGAGAGAGAAAATTCAAGGCATTTATGAGGTAAAATTCATAGTATTTACATATAGAAGGTCATATGATAGCTTTTATGAAAATTTCAAGCCTACTTAAAAGTTGAGAGATTAGAATTAGGTTGAACATGAAACTGCCAATATTCAACTATATTTGTCCTATGAAAACGCCAATTTCCTATGACTTAATATAAAACACTCATATACACATTACCAAGATTCAAAAATTATCAAGATTTTTAGTCACTTGCTTATGTCTCTCTTTTTCCTTTTTCTTTTCTTTTCTTTAATTGCTGAGTAATTTTAAAGCAAATCCTGAACCTTAAGCCATTACACCCCTACACACTTGACACATATATCTAAAAATAATTGACACTTTCTTATATAACTGCAATGTTACTACCAAACCTAATCAACAATAATTCCTTGTTATCATTTAATACCCAGTCTGCATTCATATTTCTCTTTAAAAATGTCTTTTAACATTTTGGTTGACTGCATCAAGTTCCTAAACAAGGTCCATGCATTGTATTTGGTGGTTATGGTTCTTAAACCTCTTTCTTTCCCAGGCAGTCACCCTGAAATACACCTCCTACTTTTTCCCTATGCCACCGACTTGTAGAGGTAACTAGGTCAATTATCGATCCTGTGATGTGACCCACATTCTGGACTTTTCTGTTTGATTTTCCATGATGACACTTGTTCTTCTATATGCTGTATTTCCTATAAACTGGAAGTCACAGAGCCTGTACTTTTTGTACTTTTTAAAATATCCCTTCTTGAGTAGAAAGCACATGCCCTTCAGCCTGCTAGAAGTAGACAAGGGTGAGTGTGCTATTCTGGTTAGGCACTTACAAGCTGTGTGACCTTGGGCAAGGGACTACACCTACCTAAGCCTTTACTTTCTCATATGTAAAATAGGAATATAACAATTCATAACTTGAAGACTTTGGGGAAGATAAAATAAGATAATGAATATACAGTGCCCAATGCATGGCCTGGCCCACAGGCAGGCAAGCAGTTGCTCAGTGAACATCAGTTCTAGTCAGTGACAAGAGATGCCTTCAGCTTGTAAAAGAGAAATATTCATTCCAAAAAAACATTTATAAGAAAGTACCTGCAAATTACAGCTTTTTTTGGACATTGTAGAATATGTACAATATTTATCTGTAAGCAATAAACAACACTTACAGCAGAAGTAGAGAATCGAAGGATTTTTGAAGAATAAATTGTCTTCAGGAATCTTGCTCCACTGCCAAGAGCCAAAAACATTCTAAAAATAAAAGAAAAATTGAAAAGAAGAGTAAATATTTTACAGTTACATCACTGTCAGATACTTACAGCTAGCTGACAGAACATAAGTTTATATAAAATAAATGAAAATTTTTGATAACTGAGCTTTTTTCTTCCTTTCAAGTTTTCTTTCTATGATATAATCTCTAATTACTAGTATCATTCCAATAAATTTATTCCTGCTTATCTTATATAAATTTATATCATTTTATTTTTTAATTTTTATTTATTTAGTTAGTTAGTTACATGGTTACCTTTTATAATGCTTAACTAGGGGCTTTCAGTGTGCCCATCACCGGAATAGTATTCATTGTACCCCACAGGTTGATTTTTGACCCTCCCTTCTTTCCCCTCCTCCCTTCTTGATTTCCTATGACCTTTATATCTCTTTGTGCCTGTGTGTGTTCATCAATTAGCTCCCAATTATTAGAGAGTACATGTGGTGTTTGTTTTTCCATTTCTGAGATACTTCACTTACAATAATGGTCTCCAATTCCATCCAATTTGCTGCAAAACACATTATTTCATTCTTTTTTATGACAAATACATCATTTTAGAACTAGAGATCTGTAATAATATTATGAATTTTAAAAATAAGTCTTTAATTTAATGAAAAGTATTGAATTTCAGTAAGTAAAAGTTCCGTTTTCTAGCAGCTATAAAATCCAGAATATTTCAATCTAGGAACTACTCAAATTTCAAAATCATCTGGATATGGTCACCAGTAAAAGCACAATTTATAACAGTAAATTAAAGTTGTTAGAAATAGGTTATTTAGAAAGTTGTTTGAAAAGATAGATACCAGGTCCTTGATACATACAAAATCTTTCTTTTCAGTTTTCAAGTACACAATACATTGTTATTACCCATTGTGCCCATGTTGTATCACCTACCTCTTTCTTGCTATTTCACCACTGCCAGACTATTACTTCCCTCAACAGCCTCACTGATGCTATCTCCTGACCTGCTGATCTCCTGACGCCTGTCCTTCTCAACCCCAAGTACTGTGATCATCCTAGATAATTTCAATGCCTTCAGAGATGAACCATCAAATATCCCCCCCCCCCATGTCGTTGCTCTCATCTTCCATTCTGCCTTAGTCACTCTCTCCTATGGTCATAACCTGCACGTTGCCAGTCCCCCAGTCTGGTCTAATTCCAAAATAATTAATTGAAGCATTCTGTTCTTTGACCATAAACTATCAATCCTTTCAATTTGCTTAATTATTCCAACTATCAGTATTCTTCAGCAGCATCAGCATCTCCAGGAGGCTGCCTTTTTCCCAATCAGCCCTTACCTTCCTCGTTTGCCCAGTTTAGATGAAGTTCCACCACTTTGACAATGCTTTTGACAATGCCCTATCCCTCCTTGCCCATCTTTCCATCTGTCTGTCAAACCCAACAGCAGTGTCTGTTTTTCCTACGGTCCCTGCAGCTGTGGACTGCTGGGGAAAGTCACACAGGATATGCTTTGAAGGAGGGTCCTAATTCTCCCACGACTTAGATCTCATTTCCTCCCACCTCTACAGCGATCTTGCTCAACTGCACATTCACCTTTCTCCTGTATATTCAACTTTTCTTGGTTAAGTCTTTTCTGGTTAAAAGCAACAAAAACAAAACAGAAACAAATAAACAAAAATAAAACTCTCGACTCTACCTTCTCCCTGTTGCTTATTTTACTAGCTGTCTCCTCCTCAGTCTTTACTCCACAACCCAGTGTAATCTGACTTTTGCACCCATTGCTCCATAGAGGCAGCTCTTGGTAAAGTCAGTTTTGACCTCTATATTGTTCAATCCAGTGGACATTTTGCAACTCTTACTTTCCGTGAGCTCTCTGCAGCTGCAGACACTGCTGGCCAAGCCTTCTCTCCTTGCAGAAATGCCACGTTCCCTTGGCTTGTGACATATTGCAATCCCTCATTTTCTTTCTACCTTGCCCACAATCCACCATTAAATGATGGAATTCCTCAAAACCCAGACCTAGGCTCTCTTCCCATTTCACTCATTACTCTTTCAGTACGAAATCTCATTGTGGAAGGAACCGTGGGATCCATAGTGAAAAAACTGCTCGCCAGAAATGTAAGCAGGCTAACAGATGCAGTTTCAGACCCTTTGAAGCAAGTTATTTTTCTTGTGTACCTTAAACACATTTGAGCAGCATTTTCTAATACAATTAAAATTGCATATGTATATTCACCAATAAGCTAAATAAATTAGCAAAAGTTAGAGAAAATCAAAAGGTATATGGCTCTTAATTCTAAACAATATTTTCACTGTATTCTGCTAGTTTCTCCCTAAAAAACAATTTCTGTGAAGAAAAACAGGCAAATTGTGAATCTAGTTGATCTAATTATAGTATATTTACATCAGGTAATCTCCACATTCAAATACACATGATTAATAGACAATTAAATTGCTGATTTGTTATCAATGGAGTAGATGGTTTAAAATGAAGATTCAGAAGGTATGCTTGGCAGATTTGGGGATGATCTGAAGCTGAGAAGGTTGGTAAATTTTGGGGAGCAGAATCTAAAGCTAAAAGGCAGACAAAGCAATCAAAATGAATTAAGTTCTGGACTTACATTTATCAATTTATAAATGGTTTACATATGGGAAGAGAAGAAGGAAGAAATTTAATTTGACAAAGTCCAGAACATTTGGGTAACTGCAAGCTCAAGGAATATTAACATGAGGCAAAAAGGGCTACCACTCATAACGCATAGCCCGCAATGCTGCAAGAGTCCGACCGATGGAAAGATTACTTTCCTTTCACGACGTTAGTCCACTTCTAAAATGTTGGTAAGGTTCATTGTTACAACAGAGGGCATCTGGAGGTGAACAGGTACTGGTTGGGGAAGTACAGCGGGAAAGACAGGCTTCAAAGCCACGTCATTGGAGCAAGAGTGGAAAAAATTAGCCAGTTAGTCGGCGCAAGATTTAAGGAGACAGATCTTGAAATGGCTGAAAAGCTGTTCTGTGAAAATAGGATTCGTGTAACTATAAATTCCTCCCGAAAGAGTATGGTTCACTGGTTGGAAGTTAGCAGGAATTAGGTTTTTAGCACGTGAAGTAAAACTTTCTAAAGGTCGATCTGCAACGGAGTGCCTGGTGCCAAGCGGCCAGCTGACCAACTCTCCCCGCAGGTAGCAGTAGAGGAGCCCGCAGGCCGGACATGTGGATGACAGATTTCTGTAGTGGCCGGGGGCTTGGCCTGCTAGAGCTGCTCCGACTCCAAAAGCAGCAGATTGGACTGCTTTTCTCTTTTAACTAAAAATTCTGGATTCCACTAAGATTCACTTATATGGCAAGTTAACAGCCTTTGTTTCCTTTTAAAATTAAGAAGTCCAGGCTTACCCTCCCCAGACTGCTTTCTAAACGCCAAAACTGCAAAAACCAAGAGCAAAAGGGCAAGACGATGACCGCGGTCCAGGGGTTCCCTCCTAGGAGGTCGGTCACCTCTGCGCCATTCCCCGTCCAAAAGAAACTGTGTTAATTGCGGGGCTGACCCTCTGCAGCGGCCCCCGCAGTCCTCCCGGGCCCGGGGTCAGGCGGTCCGGCCACCTGCGGCTCGCGCCTCGGCTCAGGAGGGCGAGTCCGGGTCCCGCTGGAAGTCCGGCCCGGCTCCTCCCCCAGCCCCGCCACGCGCGGGCAAGCGCGCCCCACACACCTCCCCTGGCGGCCTAGCGCCTCACGCCCGGGCTTTCCTGGTCCCTCCGCACGGAAGTGCCGCGACTCCCGCCCCACTCACCTCCCTCACAGGCAACAACCTCGCTTCCCAGGCTCGAGTCCCGCCTGGGCTGGCGGGCCTGGCTGGGCGGGGACTGACTCGGGGCGCGCACTGGCTGCGGGGTGGGCCGGGATCTCGGGACTGGAGGAGACCGAGTGAGGGGAGGGTGCAGGGCCGGAGGAGGAAGGGGGCGGGATGGGCCGGGACCGGCTGTGGCCGGGGATTGGCTAAGGGGTGTGGACTCAGGGCGCGCATTGGCTGTGGGTCTGCAGGGATTGCGGCCGGGTGGAGGCCCACGGAGGTCCCAGACCCGAGTGAGGGGGCGGAACGGGGCGGGGACTTGGATACGGATGAGGACTGGGAACGGCATTTAGACCCAGGGCTGGAATTGGCTGTGTGTGACTGATTGGGTTGGGGCAGGTTATAGGATGAAGACTGGTTTGGAAGGATGGGCAAGCCAAGGCCGCTGGGCTTGTACAAGGGCAGGGTTCTGGTTGGAATAACTTTGGAAGATGCCAGAGAGAGGGCGAGGCTAAAAAGAATTTGAAAAAGGGATTGTGGATGTATTTGTTGCCTGAGATGCGGGTGAGGGGGGAAAAAGCGGAGAAAAACTTTACTTTCCTGAGCAGTAAAATGACCTTGATCAGCGAAATGAGAAGGAAAGGGGGATGTGAGACTAAAGGAGAAAGATAAATGACATTTTAAAAGTTAGGACGAGGAAGAACAGCATTGGTTACTTCTTTGGAGAGGGTGGTGTTAGCAAAAGGAGAGTTTCTGTTTAAAATCGAGTTTTATGTTTAAATTTTCTTCCTCTTCTATTTTAAAAGGATGAGAGGAGAAGGAGTGGGAGTAGCGTTAGCGTTGTTATTCAGGCCTAGAGAAAGGAACAAAAATAATCTTTGGTTAAAAGGAACTAGATACAAGGAGGTTCAGAAGACGATTAGGTGTGTGGAGAAATTATGGCGTATGATAGAGAATCTACCCCGAAATTGTGAGCTATTGTGAAGAGCATTCATTTCCCAATGCTTTCCAGCCAAAAGACCTCCAGGAATATACCTGTAAATCAGAAAGTTGGGTTTATTACTTGTTGCAACGAGGGAGAACACACCTCCTGGGGAATTATGGGTCATCTCCATACAAGGTAGAAATAACTCAAAATTTGGGCTCATATTAGGTGATTTTGGGGGAAGGTTCAACGAAATGGAAGTTTGATCTACGTTTATTGGATGTTGTCAGGAAGTGGGGCTAATTCTAAGACCTGGTATTATAATCCATCTTACTTAGAAGGAGGGAGGAAAATGCAAGGCTAAAGCTGTAATTGGCAAAGAAGCAGCAATCATATTAGCTGGGAGAGGAGGATAGTTTGATATTTTTGTAGTCTGCACAGTGACCTTGTTTTTATCTGTGTTTAAGCAAGATTATTAAGTGATCTTGTTTGTTGTTGCACTTCATCATGATCACAGAATGACCTTGTCTGATGGTGTTCTGTGAGATTGTTATGTTTTCACAAAGAATACCCCAGCCAGTTCCTAACAATACTCAGGTTAAGTATCAGTTCAGTTCCTGATTCCACGGGCTACTTTTCTTTTTCTCACATTTACCAAATATGAATTGAATACATAGATGGTTAGGCTACTGGGAAGAATGAGGCAGAGAAAGTAAGTCTTAAACCTTACATTCTGATAGGGAGAAAGGCAACAGACAAGTAAACATAAAATGATCTCAGAGGGTGGTAAGTGCTATGAAAGAAGCAATGATGGGTGGAGATAGCTGGATGTTTAAATAGGATGATCAGGAAAGGCTTCTTTGAGGGGGTGACATTTGAACCCAGAGTTCAATAATAAGGTATTGCAAAAATGATTCTGGAAAGGAAAACAGCATTTGAAAAGGCCCTAAATGTAGGAAAAGGGGCTGTAAAGTGACTCCCTGAAATGACTAGCTAATAGATGTATTACCCTTATACGTTCTGCTGATTTGTTCTCTGAATAAAAGGACGATATATTCCTTATGTAGATATGCCCTTTTCCCTTGCCTCATCTAAAGGACTGAAAATATCCTGAAATGTAGCAGAGAGAAGGCAGTCTTGAATAGTGGATAAGTCAAATTGCCTGGTTTAAATTCCAGCTTTTCAATTTTCTAGCTGTGTGACCTTGGGCAAGTTAGTTCATTTTTCTACAATTCAATTTCCTCATCTGTAAAATGCGGATAATAGAACCTTACTCATAGTGCTCTTGTGAGGACTCAATGATTTAGTAGACCAAACAAATAAAAAAACCAAAAACAAACAAAACTTAGGACAATGCTCAGTCCTTAGTAAGTACTATAAAATCGTTCCTTAAGAAAAAAGGAAAGAGAATCTTTAGGATGGGGCTGCTAGTTATCCCCCTAGAGAATTTAGTATTCTCTTCTTCTATCTGTAGTAATGGAGCCCCCAAATTTCAGCAAAGTACATGGGTGCATGGTATAAAGACTGCATTTCTGGCCTTCATTATAGCTAGGTTGGCCATGTGACCAAATCCTGGCCAATGGCATGTAAGTGGAAGCTGTATGTGCAGCTGCTGTGAAATGTCTTAAAGGGTAGTAGGCTCTTCTCATTCCTTTGGTTTGCAGTTTCCCTGCTGGTTTGAGTGCAGTCTTCATGGCTACAGCCCTCTTGGACCACCACATAGAATCTTCAAGTTGAAAATGGTTTAGAGCAATAAAATGAGAGGGAAGGATCCTGAGCCCTGACGTCATGGAGCCACCACTCCAGCTCCAGACTCACTATCTATATTTATATGAGAGATAAATCAACTTTGATTTTGTTTAAGTCTTTTGTATTTGTTTCCTGTATGTAGTCATAGTATGCCTGTAATGGTTTACCAACTCTTCTAGTTTGATTCCCAAAGGCATTTCACTTTACTTCTACATGGGCCTTCCAGGTGACTATAGAAGAGTGACAGGAAAAAGAACAAGGTGGAAGATATTAGCAATGCCTTATTATCTGCAAATGCTGCTGAAGAGGTGTCTGTGAGTTCTAGGTACTATTAATAAAAGTCAAGCAGTCAGAACTACACTTTCCTTTATCTCATAACCCGAGAGCAGTGCTAAGACAGACCTGCTCTAGGAAACATGACAATTAAGTGTGTATTTGTAAGTTCCTAAAGCCTTTTGCACCTTACATTCCTGCTATGAAGAATTATGTTCACTTTTCTGTCTCATATAGCTATTTTAAATGCAATATTGTGTGTGTGTGTGTGTGTGTATTAGAAGGTTACAGTAAATTAATGCTTCTCAGCCAGGTAATAATAGCTGTACAAACATTAGTTTAAATATTTCAAGAACCATAATAGGAATTGTAAGTTTACCCATAGAAAGGCCCTGTAAGGTAACTATGTATCTGTTTTTCTGTTTTCTCTCTCTATCTACATACACATTTGGCTGAATTGATAGCAACTTAATTGCTAGTATTTGTTTTTTGAACCAATCAGGTAGTCCTGCGGTCCCCAACCCCCCAGGCCATGAACTAGTACCAGTCTGTGGCCTGTTAGGAACCATACTGCACAGCAGGAGGAGAGTGGCAGGTGAGCAAGCTGAAGCTTCATCTGTATTTACAGCCGCTCCCCATTGCTCACATCACCGCCTGAGCTCCGCCTCCTGTCAGATCAGCAACAACATTAGATTCTCATAGGAGCCCAAACTCTACTGTAAACTGCACATGCGAGGGATCTAGGTTGCGGGCTACTTATGAGAATCTAATGCCTGATGATCTGAGGTGGAGCTGAGGCAGTGAGGCTAGTGCTGGGAAGAAGCTGCAAATACAGATTATCATTAGCAGAGAGGTTTGACTGCACAGAAATCATAATAAATCAACTCTTTTCCATCACCCCCAGATGGGACCATTTAGTTTAAGGAAAACAAGCTCAAGGTTCCCACTGATTCTACATTATGGTGAGTTGTATAATTATTTCATTATATATTATAACATAATAATAATAGAAATAAAGTGCACAATAAATGTAATGTGCTTGAATCATCCCGAAACCATCCCCCACCCCCAGTCTGTGGAAAAATTGTCTTCCATAAAACCGGTGACTGGTGCCAAAAGGTTGGGGACCACTGAGACAGTCTTTACAATCTTTGAACAATTTTTAAGAAGGGAAAATAAATTTGACTTTAAAAATCAGTCTGATAGGAAAAAATTTATTCAAAATATGAGATCCATATATAAACTATAATAATAAAAATATAATAATAACAAGTGTATTTGGTGAAAACTTTGGTAAGTTCTGTGCCCTTCAAGACATGGACCAGTTGTGCAGCTTCTGACTAACAGTGTTAGAAAATGCCAATGCACAGGTGAGCATGACTGCATTAGAACCTGGTAGAAATTGCTCGTCCAAGGAAGGTGTCATGTTTCCTTTCTCAGTACAACGTTGCCTCTGGAATTCCTGGTCTATGTTTATAATGCATCTTCTAGCTTTCAGAGGCCTCTCACAGGCTATATGTAGGTTCTCAGCTCCTGGAGGGTTTTTATGGGGACTGCCCTTTTGTTGCCTCAGTTTGTTAGAGTGTGCAATGTCCTCTTGGCGTCACTACTAGTCCAAAGTCAGTGCTACGTGCTTCATGCCAGATAGATCCCTAGAGCAATGTAAGGAACATAAGTCAACATCAGGTTCTCTAGGTTCTTAAGGAAGGGATAATGATGAAATCCTTTGTGGAGAGTAGAGGGAGAAAGTTCTATTCTAAATAGCACAAAAGTGTAGGTAACTATCAAACTCCTCAAATATTCAACACAATGTTTAATAATTAAATGGTAAACATTCAGGGAGAAGCATCAGGAATGGAGTTGGGGTGATAAACAGTACATATAAGATGTTTATATGGCTAGATGTGGTGACTCACACCTGTCATCCTAGCACTTTGGGAGGCCAAAGTGGGAGAATTGCCTGAGGCCAGGAGTTTCAGACCAGTTTGAGCAAGAGCGAGACCCCATCTCTACAAAAAAATAGAATTATCTGGGCGTAGTGGCATGCACCTGTAGTCTCAGCTACTTGGGAGGCTGAAGCAGGAGGATCATTTGAGCCCAGGAGTTTGAGGTTGCTGTGAGCTATGATGATGCCACTTCACTGTAGCCTGGGTGACAGAGTGAGACCCTGTTTCAAAAAAAAAAAAAATGTTTATTCATTTGTTAAAAATTATTTATTGGGTGGAGTGTTTAATATGTGCCTGGGACCCTTCTAGACTCTGTTGATGCTGTGATAAACAAAAAAGACAAAGACCCTGCCCATTGGCCCTTATATTCCAGTAGGCGAGACAGACAATACATTTGGACAAATTCATAGGTAACACAAGGTAGTGATAAAATATTGTGAAGAAAAATAAAAATTCAGGCCACTAGGTGGAGCTCATTGCTTTCCTGACTTCTTTGACGGACCAGCTTCATTGAGGTGGGTAGGGATGCTGAATACCTGATACACAAAGTTGTGTTTGGGTCAAGGTGATAGCTTCTCAGTCCTCTGATCTTTCTCCTTCCAATTTGGATTTATTTTTTTGTACTAATTGACTCATGAAGAGAAAGATGGTTAAGACATACTAAGCGGCTGTGTGAACTGTCTTGGTGTAAGATTAAACCAACTGCTTCCTAAATCATAGATATATGCTATCCTCTCAATTTGCTGGGTATTTAACTTTACATTTTTATCTGTTTAATATCTGTGTTCAACATAGACTTTTAGCTTTTTTTCTTCCTTTTTTTTTTTTTTTTTTTAGAGACAGAGTGTTGCTTTGTCACCCGAGCTGGAGTGCATAGCTCATTGCAGCCTTGAAAACCTTGAACTCCTGAGCCAAGCAATCCTCCCGCCTCAGCCTCCTGAGTAGCTGGAACTACAGGCACACACTACTGCACTTGGCTAAATTTTTTAATTTTTAATTTTTTGTAGAGATGAGATCTTGCTATGTTGCCTAGGCTACTTTTAGCTCTTTGTGATAGAAACTACAATCATGTTTCTCAGTCCTTGGTAGAGTACTTTGTAGATAACAAATATCTTGAATGAATAAATTCCTCTAGCCTAAGCAATTGTTGTGTTCTATGTAGTTTCACCTAACCTCCTGGGGGACTGTTTTGGAGTTAGGTTGGGTAAAAAGAAATCTCTATGATAAAAACTGGGAAAATGTGAAAGTTAACCTTTGTTAGGGTTAATTCTAGAAAGAGGATCTTGGACCTTTTTTTCTCCTGTGCATGGAAGGAACATCATAAGAACTACTAGGGTGATGGAATCTAAGGAGATTCAGGGACTGCGATCTATCCTGACAATCTCTTGGTCTTAGAATGGCATTTAGCATGGAGATCTGCTGCATGCTGTTAGATTTATACCTATTTCATCTTTTTTTGAAGCTATTGTAAATGATATTGTTTTTTAAATTTTGGTTTCCAGTTGTTCATTGCTTATACATAGAAACAGTTAAAGATTGATGTTTTTGTCTTGACCTGTATCTTTTAATCTTTTTAAACTCACTTACTAGTTCTAAGAATTTTATTTTAGATTTCCTGGGATTTTATACATTGGCAATTCATGCTGTCTGCAAATAAGCACGGTTTTTTTTTTTTGTCCTTTCTGTTCTGTATGGCTTTTATGTCCTCTTCTTGCCAGTATAACGTTGAATAGGGGTGGTGACAACGAACATTCTTGCGTTGTTCCTGGATCTGAGGGGCAAACCATTCAGTCTTTCATCAAGTATGGCGTTAGCTGTAGGTTTTTTTGTAGATGCCTTTTAACACTTTGAAGAAGTTGATTTCTACTGCTAGTTTGCTGAATTTTCTTATGAATGGATGTCATATTTTGTAAAGCTTTTTTGGTATCTATATAATTGTGTGTTTTTTCTTTTGTAGACTTTTAGTGTGGTGAATTACATTAATTGATTTCTTGAACTGCCTGGCATTCCCAGGATAAATCCCACTTGACTGAGGTGCATTATTTTTGTACGTTGCTGGATTTGATTTGCTAATACTCTATTGGGGATTTTTGCATATATGTTCGTGAGGGCTATTGGCCTGTAGTTTTCTTTTTCTGTACTGTGTTTTTCTGATTTGGGTATCAGGATAATGCTATGCTCACAGAATGAATTGGGAGATGTTCCCTTCTCTTGTATTTTCTGAAAGAAATTGTGTAGAATTATCATTCTTTCTTTTTTAAATGCTTAGTAAAATTTGACAGTCAGGAGGAGCCATCTGGATCTGGAGAATTGCTTTTCAGATTTTTTTTGTTTTTTTTACTGAAAACTCAATTTCTTTAGAAGTTATATGACAATTTAGGTTATCTACTTTATTGTGGGTGAGTTTTAGTAGTCTGTACTTTTTGAAAAATTAGTCCATTCATTTGAATTGTCGAAATTATGCATATAGAGTTTCAGAATGTTGATTTTTAGTTTGCCTATTTGCTGTACCAAAGATTAAAAGGTTTTCTTAAGTCTCTATGTGTGTTTTAATTTTTTGGTAGATGCACTTTCTTTGGCTCAGTTGATTCTTGAGCCTGGAAATTTGTAAGACAGATAAGACAGTTTCGCTGAGGGATTTCTGTTCTTTTGTCAGGATCTCAGTGCTTAGTGTGTTCCCTCCCTCTAGATCAGGGGAGCTTATATTTCCTTTCACTAAACTCAGAGAAGGAAAAGTAGCAACTCATCACTTAAACAAGAGAAGATACACTTCTCTAAACTAAGAAGATTTTTGATGCAGGAACACCATAAGAGCCAGCAAATGTAGGTCTTCATCTGTGGTAGCTGCAACAGACTGAAAGTGTATAACCTTGCACTGCCATTTTCTTGTGATCGTTGCACCCAATGACACTCTCTGACCTACTATGTCAGAAAGTCTGAGGAAGGGTAGGGGCCAGGGAATCTTTATATTTAATAAGTTGATTTTAATGCACAGCAGGATTGAGGACCACTGGTGAAAGCAACTAGCCTCCCTGAAGAGAGTTTTGATTTGTTTCATTCCTGGAGATATTATACAAAAGCACTAAACCAGAAGTCAGAGGATTTAGAATCTGGTCTGGACATTGGTGCTATGAAGCTGGGAAGGAAGGAACTTAATTTTGGGGAGCTTTGATTTTCTTATTTTTAAATGGTTAATAAAGAAATCATTATTTTGCTTTGATGGCAGAGTTATTCTTTTCTACTATGAAGTTTCTTCAACTAACAAAAATGTATTTTACTTACTCCTTTGTGGCAATGCAGCTTGGAAAAGAAAATATAAAGCATATCTGCATAAACATGCCATCTAATATGCTATTGTCTCACCCGGTCCCCTGTGAAGTTTCAGTTCGAGTGAAGAAATATTGCTTGGCAGCACCATGCTCAACTGTGAAAGGAGACGTTTGCTATCTGATTGGACAGAGGGAGTTCAAGATAAGAAAAGGCCCCAAAGCAATCGGAAGAGGCATGGTTATTAATGTGGATTTAATGGCACTAACTGCTTCCTTGCTTTTTTCTCATCATATAATATTTTGAAACACCATATAATTACTTCAAGATTCTAATATATACACTCTGATTCATAGTATTCTTATAAAGGTAAGTAACGTAAGGCAGGCATATAGAACTTCACCAATGTTTCTATAAGCCAAAGTCTGCAAATTATGGCTTATGGGTGCCATTTTTTGAAAATAAAGTTTTACAGGTACACAGCCATGCTCATGTATTTATGTATTATTTATGGCTACACTTGCACTATGCAGAGTTGAGTAGAGACAGAGACTGTATGATCTGCAAAGCCATGCATACCTAGTATCTGGTATTTTACAGAAAAGTAAACCAACCATTGCTATCAAGATTAAAAGCTTATTTTTTGGTGAAAAACTGAAAAAAGAAAAAAAGATCAAAAATAAAAGGCCCAGTGAAACACATTTTATTTCTAGCTCAAAATTAATTCTTAATTGCTACAAGAAACATCAACCACTTACTTAGGACTTTTGACAATTAGGATAAAGTCTACAAAAAATAAGTAATAAGAGCATTATTCTATTGATCAAAAAATGTCAAAAACATTCCACATTCTCTTTGGGGATAATCAGCAGGATTTCAAGTATGACTGTTAAGAATTAGGAAAAGATCAGCCTAAGTTTTAGGATTATATACAATCAAATAATTAAATTAGTTCAGTTTTCTAACACATTATCCATCTTCATTTCAAGTCTATCATTTCAAGTCCATCTTTGCAAATTATACCTTCTATAAATACACAGTGCACAATTGTCACCATGTTACTCTGTTTAATCCAGTGTCAATTGCTTAAAGATCTAAAGTGTCCCATTAAATTTATAATCTGGATGAACTGAACAAGAAGGAAAAGTTTTTATGTTTATGACCCAAAAGTTTTTAAGTTTATGACCCAACTCCTACTCATGCTAGTGGTTTCTTCCATCTGTCTGTGGAGATTATATATAGATTCTAGATCTTTATATACTATAAAGTGGTTTGCTTTAGCTTAAAGTCCATAAGTGACGATTATCCATTGCTAAAGTCCTGAAAACACATTATTGTTCATAGACTGACATTGACATATGGAGAACTGTACATTGTCTTCACTAAGAAGCTGAGAGAGTTGTCCCTGACCCATTGTGTACTTGGCCAAACTGGTACTCAACTATGCCCCAAGACTTTTACCTAAGACTCGGATCAGTACCCATTTGTCTACTGTAGATTATCTGGAAGAATATACTTCTCCTGAGCGGTACCAGCTCACGATCCCTCCTGTGCTACTACAGAGGTGAAATGCATCCTTGTTACACAATTGACAATTGTTTTAGAATATGAACATGATTTCAATTATTGTACTGCCTGTCTTTGCAAACCTCTGGTGTTACAATGCAAGACCTAATGATTATCAACTGCAGTAACACTTGTTTTAAATTCTAAAATTGTTTCAGTTATGCCTTGGGTAAGAGTGACAGGAAAGCTCTATTCTTTATGTCTTTAGCTTATGGTGCATCTCTTTCTTGGTTTGTTCATATTACTTTGGAGATTCTCTATCTCATCTTGAAGTTTTTGCTGTCATCTCAGAATCCATCCCGTAGCAGTCGGGCCTGTTCCTAAAAAGGCACAAATGGAAGCTGAATAAAGTGTAGCATTAAGTAAGTCTCTATATGCTATCTAGTTTCCACATTCATTGATTTTTTAGTATTTAATTTCTTCTTGAGATTTTCTCTACCCTTAATTTTCATTGTACTTTTTTGGGCATTTGAGTTCTGTGATTACTTCTCCTGGGTCTCCTTTATCTAAGAAAGAGCTTCAGCTTATATGTCCTGATACATCTATGAACCTAAATTACCAGTCTTGATTTTTCCCTCATTAATTGTACACAACCTTTGTGGGCAATCTTAATCATATGTTTGGTTTCTAATTTTATCTATGCATTATAGACTCTTTTATATACTCACCTACACAAATACTATTATGTAAATACACATGACACAAAAATAAATATTCTCAAAATCTGATGAGATGTCTCAGTCTTAGATCAGAAAATTTGATCTAAGCCTTCTCAACTTGGTGGCAGGGGTGGCAGAAGGTAGGGAAGGAAATCAGAGTCCCAGACTGACCATAATAAATTTCTGCACATAACTCCCAACTCAACACAAACTGGGAGCAGGGCATAGAAAACAGGACTTCTGCTCATAAAAGGAGGAGTCCTTCTGCTCATAAAAGTTCTCTTAGAGCTAAAGTCATACCAGGTGTAACAGAAAAAATCATTGCGAATTCTAAGTGATGAAGAAAATTTACTGGATGTGTGACCCTACAAAAGTTATTTAGTCTTTTTGGAAACTGTTTTTCTTCTCCTAAGTAATAGGGACATAGTTCTTGCTTTATATGGTATTAAGCAAGAGATACAGATATTTTTATGATGCCTAGCAGGTAATAGCTGCCATTAATTGAAGGATATACTGATAAAGGACTGAACGTGATAAAAATGCAAATAAAAAACTTTCAGTAACTAGAAATAGGCAGCAGCCAGGACAGACCAGGCCAGACAGTCAGGAACTGAAAACTACAAATAAGCAAGTAAGGTCCTTCCCTGAGGTTATGTTCTCCCTGCCATACTGAGTTTGTGATCAGGGAGAAAGGAGAGCAAACAGAAAAACAGCAACCTCAAAGTGATGCCATTGGATACCTCAAGTTTAAGAGCGAGGGTCCTCTCTTGCTTTTCCAACAGCTGGGCCCTGTCTCTCTCCATCTTCTCTGTCAATTGTCTCACATGTTCCTGATAGCTCTTCTCTTTCTGTTCCATCATCTGCTCATTCTTCTTTTGCATTTCCTCCAACATTTTTGCTGCAGCCTGTGCAGATTCAGCCTTCACGTGTTCCACTGTGGAGGAAAAGGAGGAAGAAAAACTTGTGTGGGGTTGTCATGTTGCCTTATTCTTCCCTGTACACTTACCTATTAATGTTGCTGCTAAGCGCATAAGTCCTGCTCAGATACCGCTTCTGCAAGTATGACGCGTCTTTGATCTTTTTGATCTAATTCAAGGGTTCCAGGTTTACTCAAATTATTGAAGCTTTCCAGAGCTTTTGAGACCATCGAATCTCTTGATTCACTCCTCACCTTCAATCTCCTTTTCCCTTGCTGTGAGAATCTGGTCTGTCTGTAGAATTGCATCAGTCACAGACTCCTTGGACCTCAAGTACGTCTGCAGCATCTCTTCAGCCTTAAAACCCAGAGAACACAGAGTAGCACCAGTAAATGGCTCTACTCATTTGTTACTGTTTGTGTGCCCACCATCTTTTCCTCTAGGAATTGCTCCTCCTGGGCCTGGTGGTCAAGATTCCCTGTCACAGGGACAGGCACATGCTCCAGACAGGCCAGCCAAAGCATCCCACTAAGTGGAGTCCTTTTTAGAAGGGCGATATAGATAATGAGAAAAAAGGGATTCTGTGTCCTGTGACATTGAGGGCTCTATGTTTGAAGCTATTGGTGCAATGGTTCCACATGGGCTGAGCTTGCTGGAGAATGAAGCCATCATTCAGAAAGCAGATCAGAGAGATGGAGCTGGAAGAGAAAAGGGAGGCAAGCACAGGGATAAGGGGGAGCAATGGACAGAGGAAGAGAGGATGATATTGTGTAAATTCTTTGATCCAGCTGTCCTTAAAGCCAATTTGAAGCCTAAACTGATGAATTACCGTTTTTCTTTAAGAAGCCATCCATCATTGGGTTTCTGTCTCTTGCAACACAAAAAACGCAGCCATAATAGTGGATGACAACAACTTGGTGGTTGATCTGGTAATTCAATTTATAACTCAATTATTAATTGGCTGCACTCTCTCTGATGAGCACCTGGAAATATCTGGTATAACAGGCTCCCCGTACATGTTATTGAATGAAAGTGTGAATGCTATGCAGATGGTAACGCACATCCGTGTGCAATTACGCTTGGTCACGTTGGTGTCCCAAGGAGGCACGTCAGCAGTTTCCCATAGTCAACAGATAAATTGTGGTTACCTGTATCCCCTTCCTCGGTTCCTGAAGGTACTTTTTCTTCAGGTGTTGTATCTTCTGTATAAAGAGACGATAGCCCCCTGGTGTAGAGTAAATACCCTCCTTCACTTCTTCTTCTAGAGGACTGAAAATATCCTGAAGTAAAGCTGTACAACGATCTGATGATGCTTTCAGATTCTGTTTGTAAAAGTCATCCTGCCTTTGTTCTAGCTGGGCCTTTAGTGTAAAAATAGTAGGTAAAAAGAGTAACAGGAAAAGGACGTTAGCTTGATCTCAGAATTTCTGGAAAGGCTTCTCAAAAAAAGAAAGGAGAAGAAAATTCCATGCCCTCTAGAAAAACTGACAGCATCTTAGGAAGACCATGTTCTTCCTCCAGACTTCACCTTTCTACTGAGGTCCCCTCTCCTTGGAGGTGAAGTTCACACTGTAGACTGATGGCTTCATGGAAACCTTTAGAAGTAAATCTCTGCTTTTTCAGATTGGGCAAATGATTGCATATGGAATAAATGTGGTTCAAATAAGCCTCACATAGCTTGGACTAAATTTTTATTTGCTTTTGGCTAGAATGTTTGGTCAGTCTGATAACAGTGGGCATGTAATTTGATTAGAAGCTCTGGTTGTCACTTATATGCATTTAATTAAAAGGAAGACTTTTTTTATTGAGAAAAGAAAAATGTTTTAAAACTTTGAGTCTAATAATAAAATTGGTCCTTCTGATTATTATGATTACAGATATGCAGTTGTCACCATTTGAAAAGCTAGTAAGAATTGCTTCCACGAAAATAAATTCTTATTTCACTTCCTGGTAGTACTTTGCCTTCCAAGACACTAATCCAGATAAATTGAGAGAAAAATCACCGCTAATTCCTTTTGAAATAGATGATCTACATCTTTGAAGGAACTCCTGATGAAGATTTCAGTGGCCTCTCTTTCACTGGCCCTGTGCAAGACCAGCAGTTCCTGGAGGGTTTCTGTGGGCAGCTGCACCTTCTGGCCCATCTGCTGGTCATAGTGGGCAATGGCCTTTTGCACTGCAGCTGAGTTCTCTATCTGGGCCAAGGCCAGGACTGCGTTCTCCAAGCAAGGCAGATCCCCACTGTTGAGGGCATTGACATAGGTCAGCACCAGGTTCTCTAGACCTACAAATAGAGAACAAATGATGATATTGGTTGCAGGGAGAGTGAAGAAAAATCTCTATTATGTGTAATTCTGAGCATGTGAATTACCACCTCTTTGCCTCACAGCATCTATGTTCTCAGAATCACCTGGAAGCTTGATAGAAATGCAAATTCTCAGCCCCTGTTTCAGATCTACTGAATTAGACCCTTCTCTTTGGGAAGATCTCAGATGGTATGTATGCACACCAAAGGTTGTGAGTTCTTGTTCTAGATTACATAGGCCCATGTTTATTGAATGTTTGCATTCAATTTAACACTAAGGATCACTGGGACAGAAACGCTATCTATTCATTATGTATGTATATCATCAGCCTGTCCATAGTAAGCATTTGATCAATATTTATGGAATAATTGACACTATCCCCATCAAAAAGAGTCCTCCATTTGGCTTATTCTAGCACAGCATTGTCCAAGAAACCTTTCTGTAGTGATGGAAATGTTCTCTATGTGCTGTCAACTACAGTAACCACTAGCCACATGTAGACACGGGCCCTTGAAATACAGCCATGTAGTATTACTTTTTAATTTTCTTCATTTTAATTAATGTACATTTAAGTTTAAATAGCCACATTTGTCTAGGAGCTACCATATAGGACAGTGCAGGCAATTTTAAGTGATAGAACTTTTTCCTTTGGCCTTTGCTCTTTTCCCACCAAGAAATTTGACTAACAAAATCTATTAGAAATGTTGGTGCCACTTGGAATTTAAAACAACAATAATAGTAAATTTGCATTTTTCAAAGCTGAAAGTAGGTAGGTATTATTCCATGCTCCCATAATCTTAGCAAGGAGTGAAAGGACTGTGAAGGGAACTCACGAGGTCCATTGACCTTGATGCCTCCTGAAAGTGTTTTAACTTTGGAATGGCTAAAGATGTAGGAACAGAAGACTTCAACTTGTTGCACAAATTCGGGGTCTAGCTCATTATCATGTAGTGTCTCGAGCTGGGATAGCTTCTTCCGGTATGTAGGCTGACCGAAGATAAAGCATTTCTTCTTTGGGAAGAACTTCCGGATACAGAGACGGGGCAAATTAAAATTTTTAACTTTTTGACCGGTACCTGGAAGAACATAAAAAAGAGATTTGCCTCATATAAGGATTTGCACACTTTTTCTGTAAAGGGCCAAATAGTAAATGTTTTAGGCTTTGTAGGCCAGGTGGTCTCTTCTCCAAGGACTCAGCTCTGTTATTGTAGCATGAAAACAGCCATAGACAACATGTAAATGAATGGGCACAGCATTATTCTAATAAAACATCGTTTACAAAGACAGCTGGCAGGCTGGATTGGCCATCATTTATCTCTGGGCTGTAGTTTGCCAACACTTAGACTAGTATACTGTTCATGCTTTAATCTATTTTCTTCACATAAATATCCATTGTAATCCATATTCTATGACTAAATACAGAATCACAAACCCTAAGCACGGAGATAAAATTAACCTAATTATAGCATAGGAAAAGGTGAAAACTTGTTCTAGAATAAGGGAGAATATAATTTAAAATCAAAGCTATTTATTCAGATACTAAAGAAGCATTAATTTCCAGGAATAGCAACCTGGAGAAATAGACAACTGTAAATGTAAGAAAACTATGAATGGTAAACTCAAAAATGATAATTTCCCATGTTTTGTCATTCTTGTTTATCAATGGTAAGTCCCTGTTACCTTGCTTTAGCTGCAGGGAAAGCTCCAGGTACTCATCTGCTGAGATAGTTTTTCCATGTGCTTCCAAGTCCAGGGTAAAATCTCTCAGAGTCCACACAAAGTCTGGGAAGAAGCTCACAAACTCAGCTGAATCCTCAACCTCATTCTCATCAGGTGAGGATTTTGCTCTGATTTGATCTGTCAGCTCTGTCACGAAACTGAGTAGTTACCTAAGGAAAAGTGGCAAAATGAAGAGTACCACCGTCCTGTATGAGGTCCACATATTCCCAAACCCTCATTTTGCCTTTGCTCTTAACCTGTCTATTCTAAAGTAGATACATGGGATCTTTCCCCTGTACTTGAATTGTTTTTATGTTTTCTCTTTTGAGCTAAATTCCCCAAGACTCATAGTCAGGCAGCTGGTTTATTAACACAGGTCTCCCCTTTTGACTTTTGTACTATTCAGGACCACAAAAGGATACTGCAGTTGGTCCATGACCTGCTGGTTGATGGTTCCCATGCTGTTGTACACGAAGATGCTGCTCAGGAGGATGGCCAGGGCAAAGATCCAGGAGTCATTCTGGTTGTCACCCTGGAAAGCAGAACACAGTTGGGTCAGGAGCATATTTCGTTCTCATGATACTTTCCAGATGATCAGTAGTAAAAGTATGTTCATACATTAGAGTTTTTTTTTTTTTTGATGCATGATTAATAAAAGGAATTCAATTACAAACAAAAATGATTGTCCGTAGTTCTTGGACTTTGGGTAGTTTTTTGATTAGTATTTTTGGTTTAAACTGATTTCACTAGGTCTTCTTATGATCACTGGCAGGTAATAATCGTTGCAAAATAAACGGCCAAGGTTGACTGGCATTCTGAAGCTATAAATACAATTAAAATTTAAAAAATTCTCTTCTTTTTTAATACCAACATTGACTTATATAAGATTAATAACACTTGTAGCTATTTTATTGCACAATTATTATGCACCTGGTGCTGACATTATTTATCTTGTCAGATATTCAAAACAATAGCATGAGGCAAATCTAGATCTATTACATCCATTTTACAGATTATAAAGCTGAAGTTAAAAAAAGTCAAATAATTTTTGAGGCCATTAAATTAGTGGCAAAGTTTAAATTTAAACACAAAGTTAGAGGGTTCGGTACCCACATCCTTAAATAAATTCTCTGCAGGATAAGACTCATGACATTGTGTTTATTGTGCTACTTTCATGCAACTGTGTTAACTTGCATAACTTATAGTCTGTTTGTTTTTTTTTTTTTTTTTTTGAGACAGAGTCTCACTGTGTTGCCTGGGCTAGAGTGAGTGCCGTGGCGTCATCCTAGCTCACAGCAACCTCAAACTCCTGGGCTCAAGTGATCCTCCTGCCTCAGCCTCCTGAGTAGCTGGGACTACAGGCATGCGCCACCATGCCCGGCTAATTTTTTCTATATATTTTTAGTTGTCCAATTAATTTCTTTCTATTTTTAATAGAGACGGGGTCTCGCTCTTGCTCAGGCTAGTTTCGAACTCCTGAGCTCAAACAATCCGCCCGCCTCGGCCTCCCAGAGAGCTAGGATTACAGGCGTGAGTCACCGCGCCCGGCCTATAGTCTGTTGTTAATAGAATATTGTCTATTTACCACCATGCTCTTCTGCTAGGATTCTGTCTTGTGAAAATTGTTTTTACCTCTGGTTGCTAAACTTGGCCTCATGACATGTGAACAGAAATGAGAAGACATATAATGGTTTAGAGCAAGTTCTTATTTAAGAAAAAAACTAAAAAGTACATAAAATATTCATAGATGAGGGGCTTATTCAAAAACTAAATCCTCGACCCTTACCTTCTCTACATCTCCCAGGCCTTCCGTGTCTAGCAGAACTAAGGTATGTTCTGGCTTCTTGGGGTGAGGCACACACCACATCCAGATTCCTTTGGTGTGAGACTGCACCGTGGAGCCCAGAGAGAAACCTGTGAAGGAGAGAGGGAGTAAGAGGGGAGGGAGATTAAACAGCAGGCAATTCTGGAAATTGATGTAAAAGGTAGCATGAGTAAGGTTAAGAGAGATAACTGAAACCACAGTCAGTACTGATCTTATAATCAGAGAAATAGGAAAGTTTGAATATTCAATGCATGAAAAAATTCAGGACCCTTTCATAATAAAAACATCCAATAAACTAGAAACACAAGGAAAATATCTTGACATAATAAAGGCCATATGTAAAAAACCCACAGCCTACTTCATACTCAGTGATGAAGACTGAAAGCTTTTGCTTATCAGAAATAAGAAAATGATGCCCACTTTTACCACTTCTGTTCCACAAACTATTGGAAGTCCTATCCAGAGTAATTAGGCAAGAAAAGGAAATAGAAGGCACCCAAATTGGAAACAAAAAAGTAAAATTATCTCTGTTCACATATGACATGATATTACATGCAGAAAACTTTAAATATTCCACAAAAAATCTATTGAACTAATAAAAGAATTCAGCAAAGTTGCAGCATACAAAATCAAGCTGCAGAAATCAGTTGCATTGCTATACACTAGCAATGAACAATCTGAAAAGGAAATTATGAAAAAAATTCTATTTACCCTAGCATTAAAATAACAAACTACTGAGGAATAAACTTAACCAAGGAGGTGAAAGACTTGTATAGTAAAAACATTTTTGAAGAAATTAAAGAAGACATAAATATGTAGAAAGATACCCAGTGTTTACGGTTTGGAAGACAATATTCTTAACATGTCACTACTGCCCAAAGTGATATAAAGATTCAATGTAATCCTTATAAAAATTCCAATGACTTCTTTTATATAAATATTCATAGAAAAATCCATCCTGCTTTTTATATGAAACTTCAGGAAATTCCCCAAATAGCCAAAATAATCTTAAAAAGTAAGAACAAAGTTGGAGTCTCACACTGTCTGAATTTTCAAACATATTACAAAACCATGGCATTCAAAAGACATAAAGACTGGCATAAAGACTGACATATAGACCAATGGAATACAATAGAGAGCCCATAAATAAACTCTCACATATATAGTCAAATTTTCAATATGGGTGTCATGATAATTCCATGAAGAAAGGAGAGTCTTTTCAACAAATACCATTGGGAAAACTGGGTATCCACATGAAAGAAAAAAAAAAGGAGTTGGATCGTTACCTTATACCATACAAAAATTAACTCAAAGTGGATCAGAGGACTAAACATCAGAGCTAAAACTAGAAAACTTGTAGAAGAAAACACAGGGGAAAAACTTCATGATGTTGGATTTGGCAATGGTTTGTTTAATATGACCCAAAAGGATAGCCAATTAAAGAAAAAATAGATAAGTTGGACTTCATCAAAATTGAAAATGTTTGTGTGTCAAAGGACACTATCAATAGAGTAAAAAAGATAATATATGGAATAGGAGAAACTCTTTGCTATCCATGTATCTGGTAAGGAATTGATATCTAGAAAATATAAACAATTCCTACAAAGCAACACAAATAAACAAACAAACAGTTTAAAAAAGGAAGAAAGGACTTGAATAAACATTTCTCCAAAGAAGATGTACAAATGGCCAAGAAGCACATGAAAAGATGCTCAATATCACTAGTCATTAGGGAAATGCAAATCAAAACCCTCAGGAGATACTACATCACATCCATTAGGATGGCCACTATCAAAAAAAATAGAAAATATCAAATGTTGGTGAGCATGTGGAGAAATTAGAAGCCTTGAGCATTTCTGTTGGGAATGTAAATCGTGCAGTGTGGAAAGTGGCAGGGCAATTCCTTAAAAAATTAAGCACGGAATGACTGAATGAGCCAGCAATGTCACTTCTGGGTATATACCCAAAAGAATTGAAAGCAGCGACTCGAACAGATATTTGTACACCCATGTTCATATCAGCATTATTTATAATGGCAAAAAGGTGAAAGCAATCCAACTGTCCACTGACAGATGAATTGATAAACATATTGGTATACACGTACAATTATTCAGCCTTATCAAGGAAGAGATTTTGACACATGCTACATTGATGAACCTTGAAGACATTATATAAACTGAAACAAGCCAGTCACAAAAGGACAAATATTGTCATGATTCCACTTATATAGGTTCCTATAGTAGCCAAAGTCATACAGACAGAATATAGACTGATGGGGAGGGGAGATGGGTGAATATGGAGCTTTTGTTTACAGAATTTCTGTTGGGGAAGATGAAGAAGTTCTGGAGATGGACGGTGGCGATGGTTGCAAAACAACATGAATTTAATTAATACCACAGAACTCTACACTTAAAAATAGTTCCAAGGGTAAATTTTTATGTTATGTATATTTTGCAACAATATAAAAATAATATACTATACAAACTGAAATTTTTTTAACCTTAAAGATCAATGTAAACTTGCTGTTACCATGTGAACATTTTATTAATAATAAATGATTTGTAGTTTATTATGCATACTAATTATTTTTTTACTCCTATGGAAAGAATAATTTATTCTTTTAAAAGGGGAAACTAAGGGATAGTGGGAAGAGTTAGTGAGCTGACTCTTATTCTCTAGAACAGAGTGAAGATAAGAGTCCATTGATGGATAGAAAGCTTTCAGTATTCATCCCCACCTCTAACTTTGCCTCCTCACATCCCCAAACTGAATGCTGACCGTGGGGGTGGACAGAAGGGATTTGGCAGAGCTCTGCTGGTGGTACTCACCCTTTTTCTGCCCAGCCAGCTTGTTCATCAGGTAGGACTTGCCTGTGCGGTAGAGGCCCACAATAGCCACCACCACCATAGGCTGGGTAAGGGCAGACAGGATCTTCAAGGCTTCTGGATTAACCATCAGTTGCCCTTTGGTGTTCTCAATGAGGCACACTGGGCCTGGCATGTGGATCTCTGAGGCCATGTCCAAGTGTTCCCTTGTCTGCAAGGGAAGTGGTGGACTGAATGAGAATTTCCGGTCTTCTTTTTTTTAAAAATATATTCGGGGTAAAAGTTGAATTCCATTACATGTATATATCATACAGTGGTGAAGTCTGGGATTTTAGTGTACTTGCCACCTGAATAGTGTACATTGTACCTGTTAGGTAATTTTTCATTCTTCATCCTCTCCAACCTTCCCCCCTTTAGAGTCTCCAGTGTCCATTATATCAACTCTGTGTGTCCTCGTGTAGCCATAGTTTAGCTCCCATTTATAAGTGAGAACATGCAGCATTTATTTTTCTGTTCCTGAGTTACTTTGCTTAGGAGAATTTCCAGTCTTTTGCAACTGCAGGTGGAGTCATACGATTTCTCAGCATGGCTGAAATTTTTGTGTGCATCAATCAGCAAGATAAATGAGGGGAAATTTCTATAATTTGAGAAAGTTATGGAAGTATTATCAATGTAGTTCATTAAAAAAATGTTGGTATGACAATGACTTATCAACATTCAACTATTCTCATGACCCAAATCTTTCATTTAATTTATTGTGAAAAACTTTCCTTTTGGATTCTTATTTAAAAATTTACACTAGACAATAAATGGAAGATAGAATAGGATTTACGGAATTTATTTGCATCCTGGCTATATGTAATAAATTCAGTATTGATTGTTTACTCATTAATTCTTACATTGAATTAATGAATAAATGTTTCATTAATGAATGCCCTTAGCACAATTTTTAAATATTTTAAAATGTGTTTCTTTCTGTACCTCTAAATGTTAATAGTTATGCTTATATCATGGGAATGAAGACTCACAAAACCCCTCACGTGGCCATTCTGGAAGTGGAACCAATATAACCTACTTTTGAAAATTTTCTAAAATTATGTGACCATGTGAAACACAGCACTAGGGGCCCTTCCAAGAGCTTGGAGGGGGCATATGCAAGAGAGGGGCCCTGAAACGTGAGCTTCATTACCTTCACTGTAAATTAGCCTCTAACTCAGTGTGGTAGGAGTGCACAATGGTGAATACTGAATGTTTCCAGTAAAGACTATGCAATAAGGATTAAAGATCAGGAGGCAGATCCAGAGAGCTGGATGGAAGTTGTTTAAAGTAACCTTCTCTATTTGCAGCCATACACGTTTAGGTTTTCTGTTGTGTCCTGTTTTTCCATTTGTTAGGGAAGGAGAGGGAGAAATAGGAAGAGGAAGAGTAGAGGGAGTGGGGAGGAGGAGGAGGGTAAGGTCTGGATAAATGAGGCTAGTGCCTTGCCAAGGCATTCAGGGAAGGAGTTTCCAGAAAGTGGATTAAGGTTGTCTGAGGGCATGGAGAGGTCAAGATAAATAAAGACGTTCCCCTTACTGAGACTCTACAAGAGATTCTTTAGAGAAAAGCCCTCTAGTAAAGCAGTGAGAAGGATCTCTACTTGCACAGGGGAGGGGGAGAGTGGGCATTAAATTAGTAAATCTGGACTATTTCTGAAGGAAGAAATCCACTCCGAAACAAAGTTCAAATATATGATTAAAAGATATGCTGCTTTGCCGAATCTTCATCTTTCCTTCTGGGTTTCAGTTTGTTCTTTCTTTGTCTTCAAAGGTGTCAGGGGGCTGCTTACCCTGTATCTCATTCACTGTTCTTTCCTTTTCATGAAAAGAACCCATTTGTAGCCCTTCAGTTTCTTAGCTGCAGTAGGAGCAGGACAGAACAAGCCTCCTCAATGACAATGGAAGTTTAATTGCGTCCCTAGTCAACACAGACAGTGTCAACAGAGAGAAAAGCAGTCCTGGTGCATTTCAAACTCTCAGTTTATCCCCTGTCTGACAGTGCCTAATTCAACACAAGTGCAGTAGTGGCACTTAGGGACATGCTACCCCGATAACATCAGGATTTCTTCTGACCCGTGTGCCACTTCAGGCTCAGCCGTAGCCTAACTTGGTTCCGGTATTTTTAAGAAAACTCATTGACCCTTATAAATCCTTTCCCATCCCTGTCCCAACCTGATAGGCCCATGTTCCTGAGCAGAGGCCCTTCAGAGCTGCAGAGAGAGCTCCTCAAAGAAAGAGGAGCAGTAGTAAGAGTTCTTACCTGTTCTTTTTCTCGTCAGTTCAGGTGGAGTGATTTCTATTACTCCTCTGTCTCTCGCTACCGCTCCACTGTTGTGGAACTTCCTGGATTTTCTTTAGTGACCAAATAATTGGAAGTTAAGCCACTTCCGAAGTGAATTTAAAGTAATATGAAACAGAAAGTACTTTGTTCAAGGCAGTGACTCGACAACCATAAAAGGAATTTTTGGTGTGTGCTAATAGCTGGGAGGGTTCAACCAGAAGCTTCAGCTTTTTTTGTGGAAAGAGATCTTAGAGACCATTTGTCGTTTAAAAAAAATGTCCATTATATACAGGATATAATGGAATATGTCTTAAGATTGGAAGTCAGTTTGAGAATCCTAGAATGAGGAGATATCACATCAATTTTTAGGTCTAATTTCCTAAAATAAAAGCCACATTCACGATGTGTAGCTGGTTATTCTTTTTGAGCTGCAGCAAGTGGGGAAAGGACATGTTTTACGCATTCATGAACACCCAGCACTTGGCACTTAATGCCCAGTACACAGTCAGCACACCTGGCCTGATCACCTTTGCTCTGGTTCACTTGCAGGGAGGAGTTTCTATGCTGGGAGAGACAAGCAGAGAAGACCAGAGGCCACCACCCCTGCCCCGTAGAATTAGCTCAGAGATTTTGCCTAGGCAAAGAGGCAGTCCATAAAATCAGAGAGCTCCGAAGCTCTTCCGGAAGGAACAGTATGAAACAGTATGTGGAGAAGTTCAAGCCTAGAGACTTGAAGAAATTTACTGCTTGCAGATCTACTTTGTAAGAAATACTAAAAGAAGGTTTTCAGGCAGAAAGCAAATGACCTCAGATGGTAATACAAATCCACACAGAAAAACAAAGCACCAGTAAGGGAGTTATAAAAGACAGTATAGATGCATATTTCTTTTCCTTTCTCCTCTTAACTGATTTTGGAAAACAATTGTATGAAACAATATGTTTATAATTGTATTGCAGGACATGTAACATGTAGAAATGTGATAAACTTAACAAGAACAGCACAAAGGAGACAGATGGGAGAAAAACTGCATTGGAATAAAGAAATGACACCAGATGTTAACGAACCCACAGGAATAAATACAGAGAACCAGAATTTGTGAGGAAGTTAATATAATAAGCTCTATAAATTTGTATGTTCTCTTTCAGCTTCTTTAAAAGGCATACAATTATATAAATTCATAATTATGAATATGTATTCTTGGGTTTGTAACACATAGATTTATTTATTTATTTAGAGACGAGTCTCACTGTGCTGCCCTGGGTGGAGTGCAGTGGCGTCATAGCTCACTGCAACCTCAGACTCCTGGGCTCAAGCAGTCCTCCTGCCTTAGCTTCTCTAGAGGCTGGGACTATAGGCGTGAGCCACCGTGCCCGGCTAGTTTTTCCCTTTTTGGTAGTGACAGGGTCTCCTCTTGCTCAGGCTGGTCTTGAACCCCTGAGCTGTAATAATCCTCCCGCCTCAGCCTCCCAGAGTGCTAGGATTATAGGCATGAGCTACTGCACCCAAACCATATATAGATTTAATATATGTAACAATAATAGCACCAGAAGGGGTAAGAACCAATGGTTATGGAGTTATTACAGTAACAATTCTGTATCTCACAGGAATTGATTTAGCCTAAATTTGAGATATATTTCTGATAAATTATATGCATGGTAAGCCTTAGAGCAACTACCAAGACACCACTAGATCTCAAATCAATAACCTTTCATCTAAGACATTGATAAAAGAAGCATATTTTCTGAAGCAAGTGGAAGGGAAAAAATAATAGACTATTGGAAACCATAGAGAATAAGAAAAAATAGAGAAAATCAATAAAACCAACATCTGTCCTTAGAAAAGATCAACAAAATTGACAAAGCTCTTAGTTAGACTGGCCAAAACAAAAACAACAACAACAAAAAATCCCAGAAGACTTAAATACTAAAAGCAGGAATGAAAGAGGGAACTTTACTACTGACTTTACCAAAATAAAAAGGATTATGAGGGAATACTCTGAACAAGTGCACGCCAACAAATTAAATTATACAAAATGGAAAAATTCCTAGAAGGACACAAACTACTGAAACTGTCTCAAGAAGAAAGAGAACATCTAAATAAAACTGTCACCAGTAAAGAGATTGAATTACTAATCAATAAACTATCACCAAGGAAAGCTCAGGCCCAAATGGCTTCACTGGTGAGTTCTACTAAACATTTGAAGACAAATTAATACAAATTCTTCGAAAACTTGACAAAAAAATAGAAGGGGAGGGAACTCCTCTCCTCCAACTCAGTATGAGGTGAGTATTAAAATGTGCCTAAACCCAAAGATATGACAGTCAAAGTGCAGGCCACTATCTTTTGTGAAAAAGTATGTAAAATTTTTCAATAAAATACCAGCAAACCAAATCCAGCCATGTATAACAAGGGTTATACCCATGATCAAACGGGATTTAGCCCAAGAATGCAAGTTTGGTTTAACATGTGAAAATCAATTAATGTAAACACCTCATCAGCAAAGAACAAAAACCACATGATCATCTTAGTAGACACAGAAAAAGCATTTGATAAAATTTAATAACACTTCATGATAAACACAGTCAATAAACTGGGAACAGAAGGGAAATTCTCAACCTGAGAATGTCCTTTGACATTTTATTTTGACATAATTTCAGACTTATACAAAAGTTGCAAAATATTACAAAGAATTTCTGTACAATTTTTCCCTCAATTCCCCAAGTGGTAACATTTTACTGCATTTAGTTTCTTTCCTTTATCTGAACTATTTGAAAGTTAGTGACAGATATAACGCCTGTTTACTCCTAAATAGTTCAATGTGCATTTTTTACAAAAAGGAAAAAATTTCTCTTACAGAACCACAATATATTTATGTAAAGTTCTTGTTAGGCCATACACCTTTTTGTAGTTTATTTTTTAAAAGGTAGAATTCTGCCCCTCCCCCTTGGGAGGGAACACTGATATGTAACTGATGTTTTAAACCAGTCATTGCAAAAGGGCTGGTAAAATGGTCATGTGGCTCTAAGAAGCACATGGCTGATATCTTATTTTCTATGCCTGTCCTCTTTGCTGTGAAATGATAGACGTTTGACTCAGGACTTGCGGAATCCTTCGGTTTCGTTCTTCAGGCTCTTTGAGGTGAGGGATTGGAACCACTTTCTGTTGGGACTACTTAGGTCTGCATTTGTTTCTGAGATTAATAAACACAATTCAGAATTTTAAAACTATTCAGACTATTATGAGATCTTGGCTAGTCTATTTTAGAACTGAAAGTCTGCATGTGTTGTTTAGCTAGTAAACTGTTTTCACTAGGACAGATTTATTTACAACATATGGTTTTCCAAGTGATTGACTATATCAAGAAAATTGAAGGTTTCACAGAGCATAAGAAGGCTTGAGTTTATCTGGATTCTACGTAAATCAAATAATAACACTTACCAAAGTCATAAAGACCATTTGCTATTATTTTGAATGAGAAGTGGCAGTTAATATATTTTAAATGGGGCTTTCTTTACTGGAGGTCATGATTGGAAGTGACATTTTTCAAATAATGGAAATTTCATGGGAATCATGTAACTACTTGCTGAACTTCATCCATTTTTGCATGACTATTTGGAAAAATACCAAAATTAAAAACCCCCCACAAATGTAGCATCTGTATGGAAAACAAATTAGGATAAATTAATCAAAATAAGAAAATATAGAAAATTTGGAAAATAATAAATCAATAAATTAGACTCCAAATATTACTCCAGTATTGTAAGTTTTCCATGCGATTGGACAAATACTAATCAATAGCGATAATTGTGAGTTGAAGTTTTAGAAAACCCAGAACGCTAGTATTTTTTTTGCCACCTGAAAACCACCTATCTGTAAATTTATCCAACGATGTGAAACAATTTCTGAGTGATTGCAACATGCCATTGAACAGTATTTGTGGGCAGTAGTATTACTATATCATATGACAATATAATTATTATGAAAAACAAAGACAAATGGCCGCAGGTACTCTTTAAAAAGCATTACGAAGTAAGTAAAATGTGCTGTGTGGTGCTCATTTTGTTGTTAACCAGAGAATAAGCCACCATTCTTATACCTAAAGTTGTTGAACGCTTTAGTTTCTTTCAAGTTATGTTTTCTTTTGGGTAAGTCTTGTAGAAGGAATGTTTTAAGCATACAACTCAAAATTTTTTGTTTTTGTTTTTAATAGTTTAATACCTTCTTTTGGCTATGACAAGGAAAGAAAATCTAGAATGGATGGTGGAGGATGGAAGTAATGAATATCAATTACTACCTTGGGACAAGTTGCAGGAGCAAAATCTGGGGTATGTACTGGCGTCTCCTGTGTATTAAGTCCTTTATAGAATTGTGGCTGGTTTCTAATGTGGAGACTTAGCAATGGATTGAATTCAATGTACGACACAGTGACCAGAGTGGGAAAAGAGTGGGCTGTATCAGATGCATCTGATGCACTTACTTACTCATCCTCTCAATCCCTTCTCTCATCCCACCTGTGGCTGTCCTAGGCAGCTCAAAGGAGGCCTGGACTCTTCTTAGGCTGATAACGTCTTGCTAAAGGATGTGTAAACCTCTGTCTTCACAAGTGACTACAGGGTGTGGCAGTGGTGTTCCCACTCTGTGACAGCCCTGCCTGACCTCTCTCATCCATGCTGGGCATGGGCTTGCCTTAGGGCCTTTGTACTTGTTCCTTCCGACTCTGATGCTGTTTGTTTCTCCAGAGATCCTGGTGACTCCTGCCCCTCTTCTCTGACTACTCCAGGTCTCAAATGCCACTTCACTGGTGCTATTTCTGATTTCCTGTGTTAAACCGCTATGCTCTACATTGCCAGCTCTTGCTCTCCCTCATCTCCGCTTCATTTTTATGCACAGAAGTTGTGGTCATTTGACACTCAGGATGTTGTATAAATTTGTTTGCTAGAATGTTATCTCTGTGATGGCAAAGTTTTTAGTCTCTTTCTGACTGCTTAATCCCTCGTACCTCAAAGCAGTGTCTGACACATAGTAAGCCTTCAATATGTACTTCTTGGTTGAATGACTCAAAA